ATTACATCAGGCCCACCTGGCTAGTCCAGAGTAATCTCCCATCTCAAGATCCTTAACTTGATCACACTGACAAAGTCTCTTTTTACCTGTTAGGTCATCTTATCTGTGGACATCTCTGGGGATGGAGGGTGGGAAAATTCAACAAAATATTTACTGAGTAACTGCATGAATGATACTTGGAATACACCATGGCATCACTTTCCAAGCCTCTGTGGCCCTTTGGTAGGTTTGAACCGGCTGCTTGCCATCTTCCATTTACTCTTCTGAGAAGTAGGAGGCGTGGACAGTTACAGGGTGGGTTGAACTCCATGTATCGGGAGAGCAGTCTGGAATGGAAGCATCCAGTTTGTTCCTGTCTGTGGTTTAAATCCCAGTTCAGTGACTTCTAAACTACAGACAGTTGCTTACTGCTTCTAAGCCTCACTATTCCCATCTGTGAAGTAGGGATGAAATTGGCTGTTATTTATTGAGCCCCAGCTAGGTAATTAAAAAAAAAAAAAACCCAGTCTTAGCCTTTACATGCTGTATGACCTTGGACAAATGGCATCCCTTCTTGATTTCCTTGTTGGTGAAGTGACACCAACAGTAACAACTGATGCATCACATGTGCTCATACATGCAGTGTGTGGATAAAATGAGATCACATATGTGAAGGGCTTATTTGGCAATAGTGCTTGGTGCATGGTAATGCTCAACACAAAGCATATTTATTGTTTTTCTTATTTCTCATTTTTAAAAATTCTTATCATTATTCTTATCTCTCTCCTCCTCTTCTTTTTCCTCCTTTTCTTTTGCTTTATCATCAGTCATTTAAAAAAATTTTTAAATCCCTCCAACTGTTAATCTTTTTTTTAAAAAAAATGTATCTATTTATTTATTTGGCCTCACTGTGCAGCGTGTGGGATCTTAGTTCCCTGACCAGGAATCAAACCCATGCCCTCTGCAGGAAGCGTGGAGTCTTAACCTTTGGGCCTCCAGAGAAGTCTCTCATCACCCATCTTCACATGTTGTCTCTGTCGTAAATGTTTTCAAGCGTGTTCCCCATGCCTGACTCCTCCATTAGCCTGAGTTCAAATTCACCAGGTCAGAGCCCAAGTTTTTAATTTTAAAGCTCTATCTACTGTGATGATTTTATTGATATTGGTTCCTTCTATCATGGGTCCTGTTTGTCTGGCTACCGAGGTGTCAAAGACCAAGCCTCCTGGTTTCTCCCCTTCTCTACAGAGGGAGGCACTTCCGAGAGGGCATCAACAGTGGGACCTAAAGGAGGGAAAAGGAGCCCTCCTTCCCTCCAACCCTCTCCCTTTCCATGCCCCATGAATGAAAATATCTGGGAAGAAGTGTCTGTTTTCCTGGTATCTTGCCTCTGGAACGGAAGGCAACAGGGATGGTCACAATTCTGCCCCCGTGTCTGCCTGATTTGTTATCAGAAAATGAGAATAGAAAAGAAGCGTTTGTTCAGCTATGGAGACATCTTAATAGGCACTTTGATTGTTAAACAGAAGTTTCTGTATCAGTTTAATTGCTCTAAATGCTGTTTGCCTTCTCTGTTATGATAAGGCCTGAATTTTCATAGATTTTCCTTTTAAACAGTTTTCCTTTGCTTTAAGGCTTGCATTGGCAAGTTTAATGAAATCCAAATGAAGAAAGTAAAGAGAAGATCTCAGAGTTCAGATCTGCACACCCACGGATGAAGCCGTGTGGAGGTTATTATTGCTTGAGACTAATGATGTCGCAGCCACTGAATGTAATTGACGGAATTCACCCCTTCAACCAGATATTGAGAAATGAAACCAAACTACTAAACTTAATTACATCTGCTTTTCTGAGAAGGTGCTGTAATTGAGAATAACAGAATAACTAGGATACGAATCCAGCGGTGAGATGTGCTTATAATAAAAGAGGATTTGTTCTCTGCTGAGTTGAGCTTCACAAGTACCATCTCAAGATGTTGGGGGGAGGGACAGGGGTGGGGAGACGCCCAGAGAAGTGAAAAACATCTTGATGAGGGTATCTTAACCTTGGCACCATTGCCATTTGGTCTGGTTAGTTCTTTGATGCAGGGGTCTGTCTTGTGTATTATAGGATGTTGAGCAGCGTCCCTGGTCTCTACCTAGTTAGATGCCAGTACCCCACCAGCCCGGTTATTTGGCAGTATCTCCAAACAATGCCAAATGTTCCCTCGGGGCAAAATCTCCCTGACTGGGGCTTTTGGAAGGCTCATAAACCCTTGCAGAGTTACTCCTTGAGGATCTACCAGGGCCCGGCTGTGTGACCTTTAGCAAGTCACTGCAGCTTTCTGAGCTCCTGTCTCTTCCTTTGTGCTGTGGGAATCATGAGAACACCGACTGCACAGAGGCATAGCTTCTGGGTATAAGCTGCACAGAATAGTGCCTACCACATATGGAGTACTCAGTATATTCCCTCTTTCTGTGACACTGATCTCAGATTCAGCAAACATGTATTACGTGCTTGCTTTGTCCAAGATGCTGTGCTATGAGACTGTGATGCAAAGAGGAAGATGTGGCCCTTGTCCTTGTGGGAGTGGCAAAGGTATGCAGACTTGTTGGTACTGCCTCGTTCTCCGCCCAGGGCAGACCTGGAGAAGGAAATGGCAACCCACTCCAGTATTCTTGCCTGGGGAATCAATCCCACGGACTGTCTATAGCCACCAGGCTACACAGTCCACGGGGTCTCAAAGAGTCGGACACAACTTAGTGACTGAACAATAGCAAAATGGCAGACATTGCTAATCAACCCCAATGCTCTTTCCTCTTGAGCCTCAGAATCCTTCTGAATACACCTTTCTAGACAGCCGCTACTAACATCCCATGAGATGAAACCCCTTTGGTGCTGCTACTGATAATTTTGTGGATTCCCCATGAGGAGGCTGTGTATCTGAGCTAGTGTACTAGCTTCCACTCCAGCACGGTCATTCCGCCTTCACCCATTCTTGGCCTGGAGAAAGCATTGTAAGGAGTTAGCAGGTAGAATCCCTCCTCCAAAATCTGACTTCATTCCCTGGCTCTCCTTCCTTTAAAATTATTTTTCTTTCTTGATTTTTGTTTGTTTGTTTCTCCCACAAGTCAAAACAAGTTATAAAATGGGCTTGGACTTGATGACATTTAGTTTTTAGTTAACCTGCAGGAGATTCCACTGGCTGTGATTCTGACTGATACATCATGCTGTCTCTCTTCTGGGTTTTCTCTGCCCTTTGGGACTTACAAAATCATTTGCTTTCCCAGAAATGGTCCCAGCTTTACAAGGGCAGAATTGGGCTTTTTGGAAACAGCTTTCAGATGGCTGTCGACAGTGTCATTAGACGGAAGGGAGGCGTGAATGGGTTGGGGTTAAACGCTCCCTGATCGGTTCAGACATGGCCAGCTCCCTGATGAACACGCCACTCCATAACAATTGCTGTGAAAAATGAGGCGTGCATTTGCAGTTCTGAGGACAGGAAACTGGCTCCATCCATCTGGCCTGAGAAATGAGAGCTGGCGTGTGGGTCAGCCACTTCCTTCTTCTCTCCCCTAACTGGTGGAGGCTTCACAGAAAGCACCAGTTCATTTCTGCTATTGTTTCACACTTCCCTGGGGCCTGTGAGGTCTGCAAGCAGGGTGATGCAGACAACCAGGCAGTGGGGTGAAGGTGGGGGCTGGTGCTCAGAGGCCATGGAAGGAGTCCTGGAACTCAGTGGTGGAGTGGTGGTGTGGGTCACCGGGGATGTAGCCTAAGGCGTGAGCGAAGAGACCTGATGGAAACAGGCACCCAGTCTAAAGTCCATGTGATTGACTGTGTCTTCCTCATTCCCACTTAGCCATCAGATTATCCATCTGTCTAGCTGTCCATCCATCCATCCTTCCATCCACTCACCTACCAGTCCATCCTTCCATCCATCCATCCACTCACCCACCTACCAGTTCATCTGTCAATCCATCCATCTATCCATCCATCCATCCATCCATCCATCCATCCATCCATCCATCCATCCATCCTTCCATCCACTCACCTACCAATTCATTCATCCACCTAGGCATCTGTCCACATTGCAACTCATCTGTCCATCTTCCCACCTAGCCAACCATTCATCCCCAGCTATCCAAACATCCATCTGTCCATCCATCCACCTACCAGCCCATTCGCCCAACTTCCCATCTGTCCATCTATTGACTCACCTGTCTATCTGCCCACCTATCTACCAAACTTTCATCTATCTGTCTATCAGCCCACCTACCAATTCATCTACCCATCCACCTATCCATCCATCTACCCACTCATCCATCCATTCATCCATCCATCACATATTCTAGCAAGAGTTTAAGTTGGTGCGTGGTTAGATATTCTAAATAGTTACTTATACAGAAAGTGATATTGGTTTTCCATACAGAGTTTACTTTCAGAAGAAATGTGTTTAAACAAACAAGTCAACTTAATTAAGTTGTACAAGGGCATACAAAAACTAGGAGAGTGGTAGTTGTATGACCGGCACTTGGAATCTGTCAAGTCAGAGCCTTGCAAGCACAGGCACGTGTTCTAGGTCCCTTAAGCCTGGACTCACAGCTAGTGTGCCATCTACAAGGTGTGTGACCTCGAGCACATGACTTCCTCTCTCCAGGCCTCAGCTTCCTCATCTGTAAAGATGGGATGCTCACAGTCCCTAACTTTGTTTTGAGGATGTAACGAACTCAGGCATGTGAGTCACATGGCACATGCCTCACTCACAGTAAGTGCTTGCTGATGGGAGCCAGACTCAGTTTTAATCTCCCTTGGCTGCCTTCTTTCCAGGTGCTGACTGGAAGCCTCATTCCGGAGACCTTGCTTGAGTCAAGATAACAGAAGCTAAACCAGTTTTCCACTTTGCTTTGGTTTAGCAAGTGATGGTGGCCAGTGCCCTTCCTGAGGCCAGCAAGCCTGCCTCTTCCTTCCAGGGCTTGGTGAGAGCCCACCCCCACTTCCAGTTCTCCGTGTAACAGGACCTTCTCTGTCTTCTCTCCCTGCAGACACACTGTCAGTGCCGCGCTGGTCCCCACAGATCCCTCGCAGAGACCTCGGCAACTCCATCAAGCACAGGTAGGCTGGATTCCTGAGTGCATGGGGGGCCCCTTCCCAGCAGGGTGACGGCTGGGGGCTCTGGCCCCAGGGTGGGGAAAGGCTCGGCAGAGTGTTCTGCCCCAGTTCCTGTATCATCCTGTTCCTCCCTTCTGTCCTCTGCCAGGTTGAACCTTGATGTGGCAGGGCAATGCCCTGCCTGCTTCTTTTTCACCTTCTTTTTCTCACTTAACACCTAGTGGTTAAAAGCCAGGGCTTTGGAGTCAGACTGACCTGTATTCCATTCCCAGCTAGTAAAGCTTTGCACCCTTGAAGAAGTTACTTCACCTCTCTGAGGCTCCATTTTCTCATCAGATTATTCTGCCTATTCATAGTGTGGTCGTGAAGATTAAGTGAGATAATGTATTGAAGTGCTAAGTGAAGGCCCTGGCATGTAATAACCACTCAGTGTTGAGACATGTGCTTGTCCTAATTTTGAGTCTCTGCACCCAGAAGACAAGGTTGCAGGCTGAGGTCAGAGATGCTTACATTCTGTCAGTCCAGAGCTCCAGCCCTGTTGGGTGCAGGGTTCAGTCTCTCCAGGAGTGCCCTTGCCCTTTTCAGGAGGGAAATTTTTGTCGCTAAGTCACCCGTTACGTGAAGTTAACTTTTCACTTTTTATCACGTTATCCTCACAATCTGTTCACAAACTCAGTGGGGTGAGTAGAACAAGTGTGGTCACATCCATTTGACAGATAGGGAGACTGAGGCCTTGAATGATTACGTGATGAATCTACAAGCTGACCAACCTCAGCACTTTGTGTTCTTTTGACACCACGGCTAAGGGCTTTCTGTGCACCGAGGCCTCTGTGACCAGCAGAGTTCACTCATTCATGGTTTCTTTTCTCTAGTATTTATAGAGAATATCTGAACCAGGGCTGCAACGCTGAGCACCACCTAAGGCTTTGAGTCTCGGGGAGCTCGCAGTCTAGCGGAGGGACAGACAGTTAACAGACCATGACAGTACGGAAGGGAGCGGGGCTATAAGAGGCGGGCAACACCAGGGGCGGACACCTAACGGTATCCTGGGGTGAGGCAGGAGCGGGCCAGCTCTCTCAGAATGGCATCTCGTGAACAGGTTTTGAAAGAAATGTGTTGACAGGATAGTTGCTAAGACTCAAATGAGAAAACGGTGAAGGAAGCCTGAGAAATACATGATAGACACATCAGTAGTCAGGCAGTGAGATGCAGAGAGAAAGACGACAAAAAGAAGGGCCCTTTTTTGTTTTCTTACATTCTGCTCCTTGACTCAGCTCCACCCCTGGATTGGCCACACCCCTAGCTCAGCTCCACCCCTGGATTGGCCACACCCCTAGCTCAGCTCCACCCCTGGATTGGCCACACCCCTAGCTCAGCTCCACCCCTGGATTGGTCACACCCCTAGCTCAGCTCCACCCCTGGATTGGCCACACCCCTAGCTCAGCTCCACCCCTGGATTGGCCACACCCCTAGCTCAGCTTCACCCGCTGACTTGGCTCCACCCCAATTGGCCTCACCAGGGCTGAACCAAGACACCAGACGCTAGCACCCTAACGTTAGACCCGGTGGTACCTCAGATTCAAATGCTGATGCCAAGAAGAGGAAAATCATCTGGTGATTTGGGGCATCAGGAACATCTTCTTAGAGGAGCTGGCACTTAGGATTCCCTGTTACTCTCCAGTCTCACCCTGTGTTTCTCCCCGGCTCCATGCCAGGACAGAGAGACCTGGACTCATCCCAGCCTTCGTGAAAAAATGAAATTAAAATTGCATACCATCCCCTGTCCTCAGAGTCACCTCAGTCACCTCTTGGGAAGAGGGATTGCTGATCCCAAGGATGAGAGAGGGCTGGAAAAGAAGGAGTTCCCATCTGCCACTCATACTCTTGATCCCCACACTGCTGGCTAGTGGGTGGAACATGAGCCTATTTGCCATTCCCCAGAGCAGCCAAATCCTGCAAAATAGATCCTGCCAAACTTGCTGGCCCTACTGAGGGGGCAGAATGGGACTTAACCAACCTCCAGTCCAAAACTGGAAAGGGAGTTTTCTTGGCCACAAGAGTCTGTATTCAGAATATTGCTATTTGCTTATACATGGAGGCTTCGGGCTGCAGCTCATTCTGTTCAGAGAGTGACTGACCCAAATCAGGCAAGATGGTACAACAGAGGGATGCAGGCTTGCCCTCAAAATTTTCAAGCACTAAAGTTACATAATCACTTCCAATTTTCATTTTGACACTGTGAGGCAGTGAAGATTAGATACAACTCCTGCTGGAGGTGACAAAAATTGAAAATGAAAATTAAGTCTGACCTGGCAACCTTCAGTACTTTTCTCGGACCCAGCCTTGCTGCTGCCTGGTATTTCTGGGTGAGGAAAGCAACCTGGCAACAGCAGGGAACCCCAGAAGTTAATGCACCTCTGTTCCTGCTAGCTCTTAGCTGTATATCAGAAACCTCCAAACTGCCTTCTGTTTGCATCAAGTGGTAGTAGCTAGGGAGGGAGGTGAGCTGATGGTCCGAAAAGGCTTTCCCTTTAGAGGCCTCTTCTCTGCTACTAAAGTTTGGGGATCTCTACTTTTTTGGGGGGATTCCCTCTTGAAGCTCCCTAACCAAGAGATGTAAATAGCAGGAAGGCTCAACTCAGTGATAGGGAACAGACTCCCGGGGAAACCGCACCTTGCTTTGTGGTTCTCTGAGGATAGTCACAGCCCCATTCATCTGTCCCGGAACTGAAATTGGCACATAGTAGGCCTCCAGGCATGTTTGTTGAATGACTTAATGACTGTTTTGAATGTTTGGGCAATAATATAGTCACAACCCCATGTGGTGACTGCTTTCTGTCTACCAGGCTCTATGTAAAGCCCTTGACATGTGTGACCTTGTCTAATCCTCCAAACAACCTATGAGATCAATAGTGTTATTATGCCCACTTTCCAGATGAAAAGACCAAAGCTCCAGTGGTTTAAGCAGTTTGACTAAGTCACCAAGTTTGGAAGAAGTGGGGCTGGAATCAAGGGCCCGTTGCCTCTCCTTCCAGTGGTCATCCTTCTAGCGCTGGGTCAGTCACCATCACCTTGGCCTTGAACACTTTCTCTTCTCTTCCTCACAGGTTTTCCACCAAGTACTGGATGTCACAGACATGCACGGTCTGTGGGAAAGGAATGCTTTTTGGCCTCAAGTGTAAAAACTGCAAGTAAGTGGCTGTTCCCGGAAGGGCCTTTTCACAGTGCCTGATGTCAGGCTGGAGCCAGCCTGGACTCTGAAATGGCTTAGGGGGTTTTGTTCCTTGGCTCTCAGGAGAGCTGCTTGCTCTGTTTTTTGGAAATAGGCCCTAAAAGAACACCTGCACTTGGGGAAAGGGTCAGGAGAATGCTTGTGAGTAAGATCTGGAGCTGACGATCTATGCTGGAAACGCAGAGTGTTGTCTGCAGGGTACAGCGGGAACTTGCATTTCCACAGGCCCTGAAATCAGGGGTTGGCTAACTGTTTCTCTGGTCGACCAGTGAGTAAATATTTTAGGCTTTGCAGCCCACAGGGTCCCTCAGCTCTGCTGTGTTGTTCAAAAGCAGCCACTGACAATATATAAACAAATAAGCACAACAGATCTATCAATTCCAATAAAGCCCTTTGTACAAAGACAGGCCATGGCTGGTTTTGGCCTCTCAGCCATGGTTTGCCAATCCCTGAGTTCAATTTTGCAAAGGGCTTTTGCCCTTTATTTTTTTCTCCTCATGGTGTCTCTCCGGGTGGAAGTGGTTCTGATTCTTCCCATTTTACAGATGTGAAAGCTGAGTGAAAGTCAGGATAAGCCTGAGGTCACATGGCTAAGAAGTGGCAGTCAAGACTTGAACCCTGCCCCCCAAACTCCTGTTCTTTCTGTGGCATCATGTTGGTGTTGAGTTCTGGCGAGAAGACTAGACCACACAAGCCCCACCTCCCCCTGCTTTCACGTACCCACCCCAGGTCGCGTCTGGCAACAGGACGCAGGAGGGACTGTGATGCTCAACGTAGGCCTTGGAGTCAGACTGAGATAGGTTTTTACATCCTGGGTCCTACCACTGTTTAGCTCAGTGACTGTGGGTGAGTCGCCTCACGTTTCTGTTGTGAGGATTTTCATCTGCACCAAAGATATGATCATCACACCTACCTGATGTGACGGTGAGTGTGGAATAAATCAACACCAAAGGACATAGCCCGGTGCCAGGCTTCGGGTTCTTCTGTCAAAGGTCACAAATGCCTTTCTGTTTGGTCTTCCTCTTCCCTCCTGTAAACTTGTACTAAATACCTGCTCTGATCTATAAAATATTAACATTCAGCTGTATCAAGTGACAAATGAGTATGCATCTGATCGCTTTATAGGAGCCACTAAGTTGAAAAGTAGGACTCTTTCTTTCTCCTCCAGCCTCCCTCTTCCTTGTCCAGCCCAGGATGGGAACTGATTCAAGTTGCATCAGGCATCCCCGCATCCCTGCCCCAGGAAGGAGTTCCTACTCTCCCTGCAGCCTGGATGTATCAGTGATAAGGCAAGGCTGAGCCCCCTTCCCTCCTGGAGTTGTGGGGAGGATTAGTTAGTTCCAGCCTCTAAGGAACCTTAAACTCCGTGGCACACGGGGACAGGGTGGGGGCAGTAGCTACCAGGTGCTAGTGTCTGGAGGCCCACGTCCCCACCTTGGTCTCAGGTGAGTCCTCAGGATGGCGGCCTCTGCTCTTTCTGACCCTGAGACGTATAAAGCCATGCTTTCGGGTCCAGGTGGAACTTCGGTCTGCTTTCCCGAGTACACCAGATACTTCGGGGGCCGTCTCCTCTGTGTGTAGTCACACCACATTCTGAGGGGGAGACGGCAGCTTTCACATCCTCACGCCTGCCAAGCGGAGGCTTTGAAGTCAGGTAATTAGGTGACAGGGACGCAGCCAGGAGTTCGCGAGGCTGAACGCTTCCTGAGCCGTTTTAATTTTCAGTGCTAGAGGCAGACATCCGAGGTAGCCTTCGCTCACGCTCTCTCTGTTCTAGAAGTAATGAGCAGAGGCTCAGACCCTGCGGAAGGCTGGGGGAGGGATGGGGACCTGAAAGAGAGAGGTGGGTGCCTGCCAGAAGCAGAGGCTCTAAAGCAGGCAGAGCTGAGCTGGAGTCCCACCTGCCCTGCAAACGCCCTGTGAGCCCTTCGGAAGGGACTCTCACTGCGGGCTCAGTTTCCTCACCTGCAAAGTGGGTGTGATGTTAGCACCCCTCGCACCCCCCCCACCCCCCCACCCCCACCACAGGGCTGTTGGAAGGAGCCTGTGAAAGGTCCTCGCCCCAGATGGCAAAAGTTTTATCAAACATTCCTCCCCACTCTTACCTGGTACAGAAATGCCTCCTGGAATTGTAAGAGGCAGGATTCAAGCCAAGCCCTGGCTGGAAGGAAACCTTGATCTAAGGTTCAATCCCTAAGATCTCCTGGAGAAGGAAATGGCAACCTGCTCCAGTATTCTTGCTTGGAGAATCCCCATGGACAGAGGATCCTGGTGGGCTACAGTCCATGGGGTCGCAAAGAGTTGGACATGACTGAGTGACTTCACTTTCACTTTCTTTCACTTTAGAACAACCACCCAAAAGGTGAAAGCAGAATCTGTAGCAGCCACAGACCTTCAGGATGCCTCATGAGCTTTGATGCTCTTATTCCAGTGATGTCAGCAGAGTTTAGTGCTCTCTCTGATGTGTAATTGTTGTTGTTGCTCTTTAGTTGCTGAGTCGTGTCCGACTCTTCTGCGACACCATGGATTGTAGCCCACCAGACTCCCCTGTCCATGGGATTTTCCAGGCAAGAGTACTGGAGTGTGTTGCCATTAGGAGCTTGCATTACTGATATCATCTGCTGAAGTTTGATTTTACTTCTCCATCAGTGAAATTCTGCAGTTTTTTTGCATTAAATTAATAGTGAGGAGGATGGATGGCTGTCTATATAGGATTTCAAAGACTGGTAAAATTTTAGTTGGAAAGATTTGGATAAAGGACAGAAAAGGAAAACAGAGCCCATTGTCACAGAGGTTAGGGGAAGACACACCTATAGAGAAATGAACTTCAATGAAGCTGATGTGCGGGCATACAGTCAGTAACCAGTGAAATCCCAGAGAGCAACGCTGAGAATGGGGAGGGAGCTGGTTAGAAAAATGGGCAGAACTATTTGTTCATTTACTCTACCAATGTTTATTGAGCATGGACTATGTGCCGGGAACTGTTCTAGTGTTAGTTGCTCAGTCGTGTCTGCCTCTTTGCAACCCCATGGACTGTAGCTCACTAGACTTCTCTGTCCATGGAATTCACCAGGCAAGAGTACTGGAGTGGGTTGCCGTTTCCTTATTTAGGGGATCTTCCCCACTCAGGGATCAAACCTGTGTTTCCTGCACTGCAGGGCAGATTCTTAGCTGTCTGAGCGGATTAAAAAAATGGGCAGAACTATTTGTTCGTTTACTTGACTTATGTTTACTGAGCATGTACTATGTGCCAGAAACTGTTCTAGGAACAGGGGAGACAACAGTCAATGAAACAGACAGAATTCCTGACCTCACGGAGTTTACATGCTAGTGGGGGTGGAGACGGGAGGCCAGACAGTAAACAAAGTAGTGAAATAGGTCATCTGTTCAGATGATGCTTAAGTGCTAAGGAGAAGAACAAAGCAGAGAAGGGAGGCAGGAAGGGCCAGGGAAGGGGCTGCAGTTTTAATTGGAGTGCTCAGGGAAGGTCTTAAACCTGACTGGGAACCTTGCGGTGGGGCGGGGGGTGGGAAGTGGTGTGTGATGCGGGTCATTTCCTGTTACCCTAAAGCATTTCCAGAGGCTTGGGTTTAAATCTGTCCCAAAGGTAGTGATTCTCCACCCCCCACCCCGCGCCCGATCCCTGCCTGTTTTAAAAAAGAAAACCCAGAACAGGGCTTACCTGGTGCCTCAGACAGTAAAGAATCCTGCCTACAATGCAGGAGACCCAGGTTCGATCCCTGGGTCAGGAAGATCCCTTGGAGAAGGGAATGGCAACCCATTCCAGTATTCTTGCCTGGAGAATCCCATGGACAGAGGAGCCTGGCAGGCTACAGTCCACGGGGTCACAAAGAGTTGGACTCGACTAAGCAACTAAAAATCTAGGACAATTCTGGTGGTGTTACTCCCAGAAACTCCCTGGCTTAGATATATGCTACTCCAAATGTGGTCCCTGGGCCTGTAACCTGTAGCAGCAGCAGAACCTGGAAGCTGATCAGAAACTCAGACTCTCAGGCTTCACCCCAGATCTGCTGCCCCCAAATCTGCATTTTAAGATTGTCCCGGTGACTCTTGTGCACATTAATTTTGAGAAGCTCTGCTCTCGTGAGCTCCAAATCCCCTTGCAGAGCTAATTTTATTTCTGTAGATTATAGATCTCAAACTGGAGTGTGTATCAGGATCCCCTGGAAAGTTGAATAGAACACAGCTCCCTGGACCTACCCCGGAGTCTCTAGTTTAGCAGGTCTGAGGTGGGTCCCCAGAATTGCGTCTCTAACAAGTTCTCAGGTGATGCTGATGCTGCCAGTGCCAGTCCTGGGACCACAGTCCGAGAACCATTGCTCTATATGTGAAAGCACTGGTTTCCCAAGATCAAACCTTATTTTAGCACATGAGTGGTTTTTTTTTAACATTGGTCCGTCTCTGCTGATTGTTTTTCAGTCTCTTCTGCTGTGACATCCCTTGGCCTCACTCTGTAGACCTGAGTCTTGCTCATCCTGGTCTCTCCAGTAAATTCATCCAGTAAATATTTGTGTGCAGAGTGAGTCAAAAAAGATACACTATGATTAGGAACCCAGGCTGTAGGTCAGATACACACACACCTCTCTTTGAATCCTGACTCACCACTAACGGTGTAATCTCTTCTAAGCTTCAGTTTCTTTCTACATGTGTGCTAAGTCACTTCAGTCATGTTCGACTCTTTGTGACCCCATGGACTATAGCCTTCCAGGCTCCTCTGCCCATGGGATTTTCCAGGCAAGAATACTGGAGTGGGTTGCCATTTCCTTCTCCAGGGGATCTTCCCAACCCAGGGATCAAACCCAGGTCCCTTACATTTCCTGCACTGGAAGGTGTGTTCTTTACCACTAGCACCACCTGGGAAGCCCTCTTGCTATACAGAAAGAAAAAAAATGACATCTACTTTACTAAATCTTTTTTTTTTCAATTGACTAAATAAGG